CGTTCGATTGAGTCGTATCTTTGGGTTTAACAAATAAAAACTTTTATAAAATACAAGATCGATTCTGATAATAGACGAGAAAACGTTTCGTTCGATTGAGTCGTATCTTTGGGTTTAACAAATAAAAACTTTTATAAAATACTAGATCGATTCTGATAATAGACGAGAAAACGTTTCGTTCGATTGAGTCGTATCTTTGGGTGTGGCCATGTTCTTTCGAGCTTTTGTTTCGCTATTTTTTATCATAGTTACAAATAATACCTGTTATTTTGACCGGTAACTGCCAAAGAAATAAGCTATTGATGAAGGGCCCCACAGTGGCACAGCGGTATGTCTGCGGACTTACAATGCTAGAAACCGGGTTTCGATAGGCAGAGCACAGTAAGCCCATTGTGTAGCTTTGTGCTTAACTTTCCTGGCATGGCCTGATGGTTAAAGCACTCCACTCGTAATTTGCGGATTTGAATCCCCGTCCCACCGAACATGCTTGCCTTTTTCAGCTGTGGGGTCGCTATAATGTGACGGTCAATCCCACTTTTCGTTGGTAAAAGAGTAATCCAAGAGTTGGCGGTGGGTGGTGATGACTAGCTGCCTTTTCTCTAGTCTTTCACTGCTAAATTAGAGACGGCTAGCGCAGATAGCCCTCATGTAGCTTTGCGCGAAATTCAAAACAAACAAATCCTTCTTTAATTGTTTTGACAAAGTGTATTATTAACCCAAAACTTTCCATAAACCAATGGTTACTTCCTGTTAGCAATTAGCTGAGAAGGTCAAGACAAAGTGTATTATTAACCTAAAACTTTTCATAATCCAATGGCTACTTCCTGTTAGCAATTAGCTGAGAAGGTCAAGACAAAGTGTATTATTAACTTAATACTTTCCATAAACCACTTCCTGTTAGCAATTAGCTATTATTACGCACGTGATCATGATGTGTAAACAGTAAACTGCTTAAAAACGATTTTATCATGTAGTCACCAGAGGTGTTCCATCTTTTCTTCCGGCACCGAAGATGACGGAGGTTACGTTTTCACCGCTGTGTTTGTCAGCAAGATTTCTCGGAGACGGCTTTCGACGAAAGTCAGTGTACATTTGGACTATGATCTAACTTAGAAGTGATTAGTTTTTGGAGGGTCAAGGTCAAAGTCACAACAAGGTCATGAAAATAATCCCCATCTGTTAACATGGAGATCGACTGTTCATACTATTTTTCCTGGATTTTGATGAAACTTGGTGGACTTATGTAGAATATTATTCCTCGTTGTCCTGTCAAAAATAATATATGTCCGTTGGTAACGGCGGACATACGGACACATTTTCGTTTTTGTTTTTTTTAGAGCCGAATATGATCAACGCTAGGTGGTGGAGGTATGCGCTCTACTGAGTGCCCTCTAGTTTTGTTTCTTTTTTGTTCTTGTTGTTTAAGCCCATAGCTAGCTGTACAGAAGGCTTATCTGCGTTCTGTCTGCATCAGGGATCAAACTCCAAATTTTAGCCTTATACTTCGATATTTCCTCTAAGTCTGTATAATAATTTCAACGAACAACATTTACTATTTTTCACGTTAAAGCATAAACTGCCTCAAATTTTCTTTCGTAAAAATAATTCTATTCTTCGTGATTTATTTTACTCGGTAATTCTAACATTTAAATTTAGACACTAAAATTTCCATTTCCACCCCCACCCCCTTAATATAATGCCTTCGATGTGGATGATTTTTATTTATTTCTCTCCACATGCAAATAATTTTTTATTGTTTTTTTTTAAATGCAACAGAATACTGGTTGATTAAGTTGTTGTCGTCCCTCTAGTGGCACACTAGAAAAAAATATATCCATTCGTGTGTGTGGTGGGGGGGGGGGCAAACAATAAATTTGCGGACGTATTAGAACTTGCATGTAAATTGTGACGTAAACCTAGAATCTCTATTAACTTTTTCAACCTATTTACATTTTCGTTAAAAACATTAATTTGGAAAAATGAGTTAAACGATAAAGGTTGATAATCTATAAGGCGATGTTTAACGGTGCAAACGATTAAAGAGTGTTCACCAAATAACCAACTCTGTAATTAATGAAATTATGTTAATATATATATATCTCCACTTTTGTTGTATGTAATGTGTAAATTTATCACTTGTGAATTAAGTTAAAAATATTACAAAACGTTACATAAAGAGATAATTCTGAAGATTCTAAAACTACTTACACTAACTTCAATTTTTCATCAGTTTCGTTCAAAATATCAGCGGGAAAGAAACCCGTCACCGAACATGCTCGCCCGTTCAGCTGTGGGGGCGCTATAATGTGATGGTCAATCCCACTAGTTGGTGGTAAAGAGTGGCCAAAGAGTTGGCAGTGTTGACTAACTGCCTTCCCTCTAGTCTGTTACTTCAAAATTAGGGACGACTACCACAGATAGCCCTCGAGTAGCTTTGCGCGAAAGTAAACAAACATCAGATGATGATGAAACCAAACGTGTCTTTCAAATTTGAAAAAAATTTTTCTCTCTGTTGATGAATTACAAAAAGACAACAATAAAAAACTGAAGATGACAAGAGGTGGACAGTCAGTTATCGGTTCAAAATGTAATTACATTGTCCAAAATATATGTATGAAAATTTTCCCGCGGGTTATTTTGGCGATTGACACCAAAATATTCAAGTTGTATTCCTTGGCACGAAAATCTAATACTATAAAACACAATGTGTATCTGTCTGTCTGTCTCTCGGTCACGTAATTTAAGTAGTTTTGGTTCCTATCAATTAGAAGCGAGTAGTCTGCGATTGAACGAAAGTTAAAGATATATTTGGACTAAAATGTACAAAAAATTGCCCTTTTTTCGCAATTTAAAAACGCATCTTTGTTAAATCGTCGAGTTACGCCAGAAAGGACGTAAATATACTTTAGTAGACATTTTATACAACATATCAAAATCTTATCAAAGTTTAAAATGGTCTAACGTTAGGTCGTATAATAATATTAGAAGTTTATTTACTGATAGTATTAAGTTCGGTAAGGTTTAGCCCTAACTGAAGTAAAGCAGAAAACGTACACAAATTACAGTGTTAATTTTTCTCTTTTATCGAATATAGGCCATACTTAATAAAGGCTTAACTAATGTTAGGCCTAAGACAAGTGGATTTGTAGATGTCAGCGTCTGCGATTAGAATTATTTTGTATTACTCTAGAAATCATGTATTTAAAGAAGTACTGTTGCAATAAAGATACTAACTTGGCCACAAATGTTGTGTGGGTCTCTGCTAGTACACAAATATTGTTTAGATGCACATGCTGTTTATCTAAGTGTTTGAACTTTTATATGTAAATATTTCCGGATAATATGTTGACGTTGACATGCAGAAAAAACAATGTATATTTATTATATGTATATATATATATTTAATTTTGAATGTATATGGAAAGGTTTCGCTCCTAGTATGTTTGTTTGGTTTGAATTTCGCGCAAAGCTACACGAGGGCTATCTGCGCTAGCCGTCTCTAATTTAGAAGTGATGGACAGCTAGTCAACACTACCCACTGTCAATAGTTGAGGTACTCTTTTACCAACGAAAAGTGGGATTGACCACCACATTGTAACGCCTCCACGGCTGGAAGGGAGAATATGTTCGTTTGCGGGATTCGAACCCGCGACCGCAGATTACAAGACGAGTGCCTTAATCACCAGGCCGTGCTCCAGACAGAGTAGACCGCATAATGTCATCCAAACAGATTCTCACCTATGATATGTCAGATTTATATGAATCATTAATTTATGTAATAATCGAATTAGATTAATAAAGCTTCTTGTTCAGGAAATATATTTTATTATATGTACGTTTTCTAGTTTACATGCGCTGTTGTAGATTATAATAGTTTCACTCGATATAGCTATTTAAGATTTATTTAAAATTGTTCTTGAAGGTTCTTGAAGCTCACGACGCTAAAAATCTGGTTTCGATACCTTTTGTAGGCGAAGCTCAGATAGCCTATTATGTAGCTTTGCACTTAACAACAAACAAACCATTTTGGGTCAACTGAGCCATTAACGCAACTCAACCTACAAGGAAGGCTACTCCCTGTCGTCTTACGTGCGCACCACTCAGCCACTTGGCGTCTATATAGTCATTCTATTTCTGGTTCCAGGGGAAGCGAACTCGCAGACGAGAGAGGAGAGGGTCGATAAATGTGAAGAAGTTATTAAGTCATTCTAATTCTAGACGAAGCGAGTCCAGGGAGGAAGGGGGAGGAGCCAAAATGTGAAAAGAGATTACTTCACCGAACTTTTAGGATTTTTACATAAGACTACACAAAGGGCTATCTGCACCAGATTCAGTCCAGAGCCGCCTCTAATTCTGAACTGATACACTAGCGGGATAACAGGCTAGTTAAGAGCACACGCCACCAACTTCACGGTTACTCTTATTTGATGACCACCATTCATTTGATACCGGTAAACACAAATAAGCCGAAATATTTAATCTTTTTTTTTTTAATTTTTGCAAAAAAAAATATCTTTAAAATGTTTCAGTGTAAAGCGTAATGAGAAGATAATACATACAGGAAAAAAACTAATATTTTGCGTAAAGATAACCTTTACAAGCTGCTTCTTAAGTATTGGTTACTCTCCTCCACATATACAGTAAATTAACAAACCACCGACGCTCGCTCTTTCCTCATTTAAAGTTGATAATGAAAAAAAGTTTTACTTTCTATAGCTGCATAGTGCATGTAATTACAATTTCGTAAAGGTTAAAAAAGACGTTATTCATCATTTTGCCACCAGGGTGATCTACCAATTCAAAACGATTCTAAAGCCTATTTTAATCTAGCCCTTTCAATCCGCCCCCCCCCCCAAAGTTGGACAGCGGTATGTCCGGGAATTACAACGTTAGAATCCGGGTTTCGATACCCGTGGTGGGCAGAGCACAGATAGCCCAGTAGTTTTTCTCAGAGAACCACTGTGAATGGAAATTAAAGTTACAGGCGTCGATAAGTTTGTAATTTCCCCAACTTGAATTTAGGTTTTCATCTAATATAATGTTTCTATAATTAATTTTGTAACTGGGTATAAAAAAATTCGAAAATTTAGGATAAAAAAAAAGATAAAGTTAAAAAAAAAAAGGTCATGTAAGTTTATCATTAGACTACTTATTTTCACATTAGTCCCACATGTGTTTTTTCTTTCTTTCTTATTTTCGCCATGTCTTGATCCCAAACTGTATCAATATAGGTCTAAATAATATTCTAATTGGAAAAAAAAAAAAAAACTTCGGCAGGTACACTTCTGACAAGATTGATTCGCCAAGCGTGGCCTAGTAGTTAGCGTGCCGGACACTGAATTCGCACCTTGGTATCATGGGTGCGTTATAAGAGAGACGGTTAAATCCTACTATTCGATTAGACTAGGCTCAAGAGTTGGATTGAGGGCTGCGATTGACTAGCTGCCTTCTCTCTCTCTCTCTCTAGTCTATCATTTTTAGGACCGACTAACGCAGATAGCTCTTGTATACTTCCATCTTTGCCAACCCCCTCCCCAATTTCGCTTTCGATGTCTATGGTGGTAGGTAGTCGTGTTGGAAATTTTTAAAATGATGAACAAATGTTTAATGAGTATTGCGAGAAATCACATACTTCACGAAAGATCTTGCAATTATATGAATCCATCAAAAATATGTACATGAAAAAATTATGTAAATAAAAATAAAGACAGGAAAGAAACAAGTATCAACATGAATTAGAAAGTTCAAGAATAAGATTTCCGTAGAACAAAATCAAAGGAAGCAAAAGACGTACCCAAAAATCAGTCTCGACTTCTCGGCCTGGTGGTGACAATTAGCTGAGAAGGTCAAGAAATGAAATATAAGCAACATTTCCAGGATATACGTGGACTATAAAACATGTTATTAAAGCTAGACGCCAGTGTATTTTGCTGCTGTTTATGTTTGTTTGTTGTTCAGTGCAGAGCTCCACAATGGGCTGTGCTGTGCTCACTGCGGGAATCAAAACCAAATTCATAGCGTGATAAACCCTCAGACGTTCCGCTGAGAGCTATTATGACAAAGCGACTTAGGTGATCCTTCCAAAAGTCGTTCGAACAACGGACAAGACAGCGAACTTTTAATTGGGTGCCTGTGATAAGTATATTTGACTGTAGTGTGGAGTCGACAGCGAACTTTTAATTGGGTGCCTGTGATAAGTATATTTGACTGTAGTGTGGAGTCGACAGCGAACTTTTAATTGGGTGCCTGTGATAAGTATATTTGACTGT